GAATTCGATAAATTCTATGTATGTCTAAATATAGACAGGCCAATAAGCATTTTCGTACGACAAAAAATTCTTCCTAGATATAAGAGAAAAACTGCTGTCGGTTACAAATAGAAGAGAAAGTTTGGTAATAAAATAGAAAAAAGACAAGCACAAGATATTGAGCTGAAGTTTAAAAAGCAGTAAGTTATGATTAATTCTATTAAACGCCTTACTAAAGTGCATAATTTGGATGTCCGTTTGTGAGGCACAGGAAAACGGCGTGAAAATATGCAAAGTAATTTCTAATGGGTTCGTAACAGTTGATCTGCCCTCAAGGAAGGTGTGTTGACACGGAATACTAATTTTTTAGTGACAATACTTTCAAAGAGTTTAAATATAATGATCAACATGGCGGTACCTCTGTAGTTCACTAATAGCTGTCTACTCCCACTCTTGTACAACGAAACCAAATAGCAACTTTGCCAACATAATTAAAGACACGACACACGACATAAGAATACATAACGGAATGCCGTAACACCCGGGCACGCAACTATGTTTTAACGACCTCGAATCTTCTTCTGCAGAGAAATCATAACATTTGGAATATTTGGTCAATAGAATCATTTATATAGTACGGATTATTAATTATAGACGCAGAGATGTGGCGTAGATTTAATTATCGAAAGCGCCTATATTGTTGCGAGTACCTCCAGTTGATAAAATCCTCACTGCTTGTTAACCCTTAATATTTTTTTAAGTTTGTCAATTGCAAAAGAAAGATTCCAATATGTCTCTCGCACCTTTCTTTCAATGGCTCTGAGTCCACCGATGATATTAAAACCTCCCATCTCTTTGCTGAATACTTTCGTCGAAAATTTTCAATTGCTAATTCCGATTTAATTGTCAACTATCCGCAGCCGATAAATAATTCGATTTCGATTCCTAAATTGGTCATTTCAGAAAATGCCGTTTCAGAAAGTGTGAGATCTGTAAAATATAGTTGTTCGCCCTGACCTCATGGGATTCCACCACGTTTTGTCGAGCTGTGGCTGATTTTTAATCAGTCCTTGAAGCCACGTGTTTTTCCTTTTATTGTGAGAAAAGTTTCCTTACTCTAACTCACAAATCTAAAAATAGACATCACGTTGAAAACTATACTAAAAAACTGAATTGTTATTCAGTATTTAGTTTTTGCTATCAAATATTATATTTTTCCATTGGCATGGCTTTAGGAAGGGAAGATCTACTGTCACGAATCTCTTTGAATTTACTTGCCATGATTTCAAGACTTTTTCTAGTGGCTCTTACACGGACGTCGCATATACTGACTTATTGATCTTCAAACTCTGTGCCTCTCGCTTCCCTTTTTACTTATTGTATAAGTATTGAGTATGCTCTGTAGACTCAATTGTATCAGTTCAAAAGCAATTCTTGGTGTCCGTCATTAAGAATTAGGGTTGGGACTCTCTTGTTTCCCTGCGTCCTTATGAAAATAGATTTCTTCTGCTAGCCTTACTATCACTTGAGAAACATAGATTTATTCTTGGTGTTTCCTTCTTATTTAGATGCTATTGACTCGTCCGCATAAGCTAATGTCCTGAGAGATAAACTTTAGTGTCCCGAACCGCTTCTCTAGGCACTTTATGTTCATTAAGTTAAGTCGATATAAATATAATTATGAGCTGTTTAACCCATTTAGAGTTGTTTGCAGAAATCTAAACAACTTCACTGAAGGAACCGAAGAGACTTTTAAGGTTAAGTTAACTTAAACAAATATTTGAGATTAATTCGAATTGTTACTTGTATCTTTTATGTATATCTGCAATAGCATTGGTGATTCTATACTTAAAACTATGCCTAGCCATATAATATAAGAATCATACGCAGACACACTCTTCAAATACTGTTTCAAAAGTTTATTTTCTTTCTTCTTATAGTATTTAAGAACTTGAAAAAATTCCAAAAAAATGGAATATTATTTTATCGAAGTCGCATGGAGTATCCTCAGCAGCTTGCCAGAAGTCCTTACAAAAAAATTTATTTTTCTTGGATCACACAATTACAGAAAAGGTGTGCGTAATATAGCCTCAACCTAATGTTCTATTGATTGTGGCACTTACTTGCTCGCTTTGCGTATTCAATCCATTCTGTTACAACGTTTGACCTAAGCAGGTGAGACTTCCTTATTCATCCAACCGAATTGTCTTTAATTTGACATCACAAAAGAATACACTTAATTCACTCGACTTCTTTATCGCATTTTCCGGGTTATTGTAACTTATCACAACTTACAATTGAATTCAAGTGATTTTTAAATCTTCATTAGCCATTCTTACTATTATAATCTCCATACACTCATCACTTCTTGTTGTGTGTGTTCATATTTCTATTAAACATTTCTGTTTTATATCTCATCAATCCGAGCATAGGTCTGCTCTTGTCAATGACCAAAAAGAGAGCGGAATGGCCAATGCAAATTCCATTTCGTAAGTCATGTAGGTGGCTTCTCTCCTCCTGGTGCGTGTGTGTATTGGTGTTTGCATTTATCATCTTATTTTTGCCGGTATTATTAATTTAAGTGCCTATGGGTCGCTGTCTGGTTTGTGCTAAAAATGTAACTGTTCGTCATAATGGCACAAATTGTGCTCTTTGCGAGTGCACATTTCATTTACCTGTCCTCGTGTTTGGAAGGAGCTATTCACTGTCTACGTTAAAAACAGAATTTTTTGGTACACATGGACTAGCTGCAATAAGGAGTTGATTGGAAGTAGCACTTTCGTGCAAATTAAAAATGGTTTGGCTCATGGAAACTAAGTTTAATGCAGAGTTGGAAAATAGTCGGATAAATTTAGGGACTTAGCGCCAAAACAACATACTCATGGGCGACTTGAATTGCAAATTATTTAATCTTGCGAAATCCGCCTTGACTTTTACATTCTGTCACCGTTGAAATATGCGGATTGTTCACAACTCCCTCCCATGATACATATCATAACGTAATGTGAGGCTCTACTCTCTTGCTTTACTATTTTTTAATAGCGAATAAGGAGCTTTCAGGTTCTGGGTAATTCCAATTGGCTGGAACCTCTTACCATGCCTTCATACACGTGGCTCTTAATATTGCAAAAAGTTGGCAAGTGCTCTGAATGTTATGATTATAACAGAGTAAATACTCGGGTACTGATATCCAGAATTCCGCATGGGACTTAAGTGGTATCTATAATATTTCGGATGTAGATGATCAGGTCAATAATTTAAATGGCAACCTGAACCTAATTCATAAGGTTACACCCCAAGTTACATACGTGGCGGTCAAGTGTGAGTATTGGTTTATTTGTAGTGAAATAAAATTTTATCTTTCTCTAAGTAATCTAGCAAGGCGTATTTACGTGACAGGAATGATTATAATTGCAACTATTGTATACAAAGGAAATGCAAAGACAGAAATTAATAATGCAGGAGAAACAATTTTGGCATGTACTTTGGATTCATAATCTCGTGCGGGACTTCGCATTCTACTGACGCTACTGACGTAGTGGAGTTCTACCTATCGGATCGTTTACAGTTTATATCTGTGGATGCTATCAAGTCTAACCCATTAAGGGTACGCAGTGGTGTGCCTCATGGCTCAATTAATGGCCCTTTGCTCCTCTGCGGGTATATGAATACGATATCTATAATATGTTTAACCTAGCTATGTCTAAGCCTATGCATTTGCTGATGATTTGTAGGTTTTATTTGAAGGGAGTGTTGATAATTTGGAAAGATACCAAGCTGAGATTGACTATCATTTGGACTGTAGCTCCCGTTAGAAGGATGTGGATGAGCTTGAGATGAATTGGGCTGAAACATATGCGGTAATATGTCGGCTCCCGAATATGCATCTAAATCTTGCACTAGATTATCTACTTAATTAGAATTGTGGAGAAAACGTGAGTGTTAATTCTTCTACTAATATAGTTACCGTCTTGTTTCTTTTTCTTCTCTTCAATTTTCTTTCCTTTTCCACTAAATTGTTTGAGAATATTTTGGATTGTTGCACTTTGTTATTACACCTATGGTAGATATTGCAATTTATTATAATAGTAGTCATTAATGACTTGAAGTTTACATGCTCAGGTAAAGTAAAAGGTGGACAATCGTCAACAAGTATTACTCAAAATTTGGAAAACGCTGATTCTGCCATTACAAGTTGAAATTTGGTTAGTAAATAAGTAAATAAAATAAATAAACCACCGTGAACCAGTGCTCCGGAAACATTGAAGTTATGTAGAAAGAATGAAAACTCAGTATCAAGTTAGGAAAGCAAAACGTATTTTAGAACCCAGGCCTCTAACATCTTGATAAATGAAAGATAATCGGCGTAAGAATATGATAAATTTTTTGCTGCTGGCTGCATTGCACAGATTTTGCATCGGGAATGCCCAATTTTGCCACAATGACTTATTCAACATAGTCTGAAGATTAGCTGTGAGTACCAGAATTTTAAAAGGCTATATTTGTCTAAGGTGAGCTGCTGACAATTTGAATATGCTCACCCGGTTTAGGTTAACCGATAAAACTTCTTACGCCAAACGTTTCATAATGCTCTCACGCGAAGCGTCCGGTGCTAGCCTAGAGATAAATATAGCCTTACCAGGTAGACAAGTCGTTAAAGTAGCAATATTTATAACGCCATTATCGGAAGCCATAAGTGAAAAATTTTTCATAAAATTGAATGGGCCAGAACTACAGAAGAAGAGATAAGAGGCGATTGAACTTTTTTATTTTGCTCTGCGCATCCCCGTAACTTATACGCGCTAAGTTACAACGCTCGCTAATGTTAGCTTTCGTCATGGCAATTTGAGAAATTATTACGCTGATATTAATAATAGGTATTCCAAGATCTTGATTTTTCCCCACCGAGTTGATATGTAAAGCCTTTTACTAACCGACAAGGGAAGATCACGTAGTCCCAACGGAGGATTTGATGACGTAAGGTCGTCTAACTCATATTAGGAAGGAATCTCAAAATTAAGAAGGTTGAGGCCGATCCAATGTCCCCGGAGGGGGTGGCCACACCAGGCCTGTCTCATTTCGAGGACAATCCCAGAAGTCCAACTAACTAAAATCATCAAACCAGGCTTTATACTTCTGAAAGTTTATAACCAAAAATATTAGCTCTTTGCTAACCTCAAACAAGTCTCTTTTTTTGCCAACAGTCGGGACATGACAACCGTAGATTTTCCGAGAAATTCCCAGCAGCATCCGTAGGTCTACCTGTGATCACAGCACATTTAAGGTGAGCGAGGCGGTCACATAACCAATCTTGGCTCCAAAAGGCGCAACCAAGTACGCAATGCGAGTTATGCCCGACTCCACCTGGTTTAACGCACAAATGGTTGCCAAGCACAGCACTGATAAGCAATCTAAAAAATTACCAGCAAGAAATAAAATACAATCAAATCAAAAAAGATCATGAGCAATAATTTACAAACCAAATATCTTAAGTAAATGCACAATTAACTAATATATGATAACTATTCAACATGTAACTATTATATATTTTTCAAATACCAAATTGTTCCGCAGATTGTTAGACTATGTGCAAAGCTCCAAGTTTTTGTGAAATTGATGTTCAAACCATTGAGATTACGGACTCTGCTATCGGATTGCTTATAGTTTCTATTGATTTCGTTTGGAACAATTTATATTGCAACTTTACTCACCCTAATGCAAAGCGGCAATATTTCCGTTTACGATTTCGGTGCTATGTAACTTGACGTCTTATGGTCCTGCAACGTCTTTGTTTTTTGTCCTTTTCACTACATTACAATTCTGATTATTAATATTAATATAGTTTACGGCAGTTCTTTCTATTGTATTGATTTTTGCTATTGTGTGTATATCAATTTTTTTGTTTATTTTAATTAATAACTTTCTGTACATCATTTATGGAAACAGCTGGCCAAAGGTATGGCACTTGAAAAACAAAGTTAATGTTATTTTTGTTACAGCTGTTATCAGTACAGCTAAGAGTTCTAGCGCTCCAAAAATATTTTTTCGAGCGCTTAAATTGCAAAGCATTTCCTTATTTTCACCTATTGTTTACAACATAATGACCAATTTAAAAAAGATTATTTAAGCAAATAAAAATTTGCTTTTTGGACCATTTAAAGGGCACAACCAATTGGATTTAAAGTTGCCATGAGAGTCCGCTGGCTAAGCCCACCTACCTTGTCATCACTACTATTACTGCAAACCTTCCTTCTTCTTAGTATTACAATATATAGACTTACAAAATAAAAACGAAAATTATCACTTATATCAGCTTATGGTTTCGACCCATGTAGACTACCCAGTTGGCTCGATTTCTCCTGCGTTTCGTCTTAAACTCGCTTCTTAGATGGACTTACGGTTCCGATTCTACTCAAATAATTTATTGGTACAACACCTTTAACCTTTCTTTCTCTTTTTTTCTTTTTGTCATGAATTTAACAGTTCCCATTTCTTTGCGTTGGGTTAGGGTATTTTCAATTCAATATTTTTATTTCTTTAAATTAACACACTCAAAAATCTAAAGGATGCCAATGTCATAAACAGCATATATATATATTAGTTTGGGGAAAAAGAAATCCATTATTTTTATATGAACTTCAGGACTTTATTTAACATGCTTCGGATTGTCCGATTTGGGTCAAATGTGCACCTTTTTGATGTATGATTTGTTGCCATTTTAAAGGTAACTTCAAAATGCCTCTCTCATAGAAGTCCTGGTCTCTATTTGCAAAAAACTCTAGTAGTCGATTTTTACAATCCTCTCTAGATTCCAATTTTTTTGCAATGCAAGAAAAAGATGATAATCGCTTGGTGCCAAGACCGGACTGTATGGCGGATGCATTAAAACTTCCCAACCAAGCTCCCGAAGTTTCTGGCGAGTCACTGTAGATGTGTGTGGCCTAGCGTTGTCCTGGTGGAACACGACACCTCTCGTGTTGGCCAATTCTGGCCGTTTTTGGTCAATCGCTATATTCAAACGGTCCAGTTGTTCACAGTAGAGAAGTATGGAAGCAACTCACAATAAATAATCTCCTTCCAGTCCCACCAAATGCATAGCAAAACCTTCCTGGCCCTTTGAGGTGCTTCACCGCTCTTTGGCCACGATCGTTTTCGCACAGGGTTATCGTATGTGATCCATTTCTCATCTCCAGTCACCATCCGTTTAAGAAATGGGTCTATCTCATTCAGTTTGGCCAAGGCTTCGCAGATGGAAATTCGATCCATCATGTTTTTTTCTGTTAATTGGTGTGGCACCCAAACATCGAGCTTCTTTTTGAATCCAGCTTTGTGTAAATGGTTTAAAACTGTTTTATGGTCGATTTTTAGCTCCTGGGCGAAGTTACGACTGCTAACATGCCGGTCAATTTTGATCATTTCTCCGATTTTATCGACATTTTCGACGACCGACCAAACTGTGCGAGGTGCATCTTTAACATCAAAAATTCCTGAACGGAATTTACGAAACCAAAATTGCACATAATTGGCTGTTACAGTATCGGAACCATAAACACCATTCACAATTTTAGCCGCCTGGCTTGCATTTTCGCCTTTGTCAAAGAAAAACTGTAAAATGTACCGAATTTTATCTTTGTTCACTTCCATTTTTAACACGCAGTAACTCACAACTGAATGCACCAAACAAAAAACAGCAAAAGAATTTTGTTTACTGCGAAATGTCACCTTTCCAACGAGCATAAATATGAAATTGTTTGATCGATACTTTACGAGAAATCTATCAGTGCAGCCATCTACCGAAAAGATAATGGATTTCTTTTTCCCCAACCTAATATATATACATATACATAATGTAAACACCAAAGCCAGTGAACAAAAACATTAAAATGTGTTCGATCACTAACAATTAATTTTTATGACTATTCAAACAAGGAAATGAATCGTATCATTATTGTCAACGTTTGTAAACAATTCTTTTACTGTCCTATCTTCTGTGTCTGCCATCGTCTAGACGGCATTTTGCAAAAAAAAAGTATATTTCTATTTAGTTGCGCGGTTTGAAGGAAGAGGAATGTTACTAATTGTTCTACAATTTTCGTTCGTACATTACTTTAGCAATATTATTGCAATAAATTATTATCCAATTATTAATGCTCTCTGCTACGCATTAAATATCAGCAACGAAACCAATAAATTCCGCGATTTTTATAAACGCAAATTCAATTCATACCATAGTTTTTATTACACGTTTAACACAAAAAGACTTGTGCATAACTTTTAAAGTCTTTGACTTTACGCAGTTGTGTCTTATTAACAATAGTCCAATGAATCCATCGCAACGTTGAAAGCAGACTGATTTGTTTCTTTCTTTGGATATGGATATCCAAAAAAGCTATGACTCAGAGTAGGTGGACAATTGATATCGGAGATAAGACTGACTATTCGTGGCAGATCCATTTCGGGATTATAAAAGGAAGCTCAACTGTTACATACTTTATATGTTATATGTCATGTTTTCGAGACTTTTTCTAGTGCCTTTCGCAAGAACTTCGCGCATCCAGATTTTAATAAAGCTCTCGAGCTCCCAAGTCGCATATTATTGCTCTTTAAATTCCGGTCTCTTGCTTTTAAATTTAAAAACGTTTAAAAACGAATTTTATTCGATCGAAGGCAATGTTTTAGTTTGCGTATTGAGCTGTTCTTAAACAAATTTAGGTCACCGCTATCTGTAGCCCAAACCTTACAAAAAGTTTATGCACAGGCTTGACCAGTACTGTTACGTGGTGCAGCTTGCTTCAAAAGCTTCAATAGAGTTCGCTCAAAAGGGATTCAGGGATTTAGCTTCTCTTTTGCCTGCTTATGAGTAAAGTAGATTGGCTCTGTCAGCCTCACCATTATTAGAGAAACGCAGATTTATCCTGAATGTTTCCTTGTTATTTAAGGTAATAAATGGTACTATTGGCTTGCCGACAGTTCTTGGTAAAATAGGTTGTAGGCAAAAAACCTTCCTACACCTTCCAGAAAAAACTTGTGAAATGTAATATAATTTTTTTATCTTTGTTAAGCAATAAAATTTTAATATTTTGCTGAGCAATAAAATTAATACTCGAAACCTCATGAAAAAGTAGGCGGCTACAACCGCAGAATTATCTGTCCTTAGAGATCAATGTTCTGCACAGTACAGCAAGCCATATAAATATGGTGACATCTTCAATAACGTCAAATTAAATTACCCCGCTTTTGTTGCCAGGACAGAGAGAAAAGCGTCACGTCGGATGAAGAATTTTTAAACAAGAAGTATCGTTTTAAATTTCGTAACATTTTTGTACTGCCAACAAACAACCGTTGTTGCGATGATATTTACCAAGTAAAAAAGAAAAGATTTTTAGGTAAATTTGCTAATTGTGCGTTGTAACAATGCCTCAACAATGTACGACTTTTTTTAAAAAAAAATTGACGAAGTGACGAGGCTCACTTGTATCAGTGTATAGCTATCTACTATATTAAGCTTCAATTTCATTGTTTTGTTGTTTTACATCATCATCTTATCTGGTTCAGAAAATAAACATAAAAGGAAGAAAAATGTATGAGTAACTGCAGGAGTAAAATAACAAATATATATGCGACTTCAGTGAGCTATTAATTATAGATTGTTATTTCTACGTTCATTTTACAAGTTCCAATACAGTTTGGGTGACCTTTAAGAACAATGGGGTATGAATGGGATTCTTTGTGTGCAATTAGTTCCATTTCTGATTTATGTAATTAAGATTACTATCAATAGCGAGATTTTGTCCTAATTTGGAATTTGACTCTTTCAAACAACCAAAAATGGAAACTGTGGGTACAGAAAGCAGATGTCTTTAAAATCAATTTGTAGAATATTTGTATATGAGAAGCCAATTTAGCTGCATTAAAACTTAGCTTAAAGATATATGTGTCGTTTTTGGTTGACCGTAAATTTATCCTCTGATTACATTGTTAAAGCTTGAAAGTCTTTTGTAGCAGATTTTGTTGCAATTAACAAGCACTAAAATGTCAAAGATGCCTTTAACAGTAACAAAACAAAGAATAACAACACCCACAAGCAAGGCTTTAGGTGTACAAATGCCCATATCTAAAAGAAGAAACAATCGACAAGCGAACATATCTAGTTACTTAAGACTTCAACGTTTAACATGTTAAGCACATCAACAAGTAACATACATATACCGAGTCAAGCAATAAATAAATAGTTTTACCGCTTGTTCGCGGCCATATACATTTGCGCACACATACACATTCTACGGTATTTATATACGCAAAATGAAGTAAAGCAAGGAAGACTTAGTGAATTAGACGCGTTAAGCGTTTGGAATCACGACCAGTGGCTCTAGTAGTCAATGACGTAGCGTTTCGGAGCATAATAAAAATTTATTTTATAGTGTCAGATGTTATGACCACTTGATTTATCATATAAACATCATGTTTACGATGATTGCAAAATTTTACTGTGAAAATTTCATTGAAAAAGGACAAAAAAAAATATTGCGTTCTTTCTCAAATGTATATGAATTTTCAAACTTATTTTTTAACAATACTCCTAATATGTCTTTTAAATAATAGGCCTCAAAGTGCAGAATTCGAAAAACTAAATAAATATAAAGTACATAAATGGCTTTTATTTTAACTGAAGGTGTAGAATATAAATTTTTTCCAGTGTCACTCCTATGTGAACACAAATATACGCTTTGGGTGTTTAAAACAAATCGACTTTCATGGACGTTAAAATTTTGAGCGCTCAAAGTTTTTATGTTTATTTCAGAAAAGCGATTCTAACATATTTATTCTGCTTACTAATCATATATTGTGGAACTACTTATGTCATATTTTGGTACGTGTTTAATATTCTGGCATTTAATCATGAATTTGTGGGCTGCAAAAACGTGACATATTTGTATTAAAATACGTACGTAACTTACGTTCAATTTGCGATTTTCATACACTTTTCCCCCTTTTTCGGCGCAAAATTGCATCATTTTGTTGCCACGTTTACTTCGGAATATCATTTTTGAAACAAAATAACAAAAACGCTGATAACCAAACGTAGTAACTTATTTTGTGGTAGATTACAAATGGCAATGCCAATATAATGCTCTAAGAAAAATATACTTTCTTTCTTTTAGTTCATTAAAACTTTTTTTTTTTATACCCATCGCCGCAGGATGAGGGTATATTAATTTTGTGAAAATATTTGCAACGAGTAGAACGAAACTTCAGAGACGGCACCAACTATATATATATATATATACTTGGCCAGTTTCAAATTCGGTATGCACCTAAGCGTATCCATCTGTACAGTGGACTTTCTCTCCTTCGCATCGATAATACGCCTACAAATTTGCAGAAGAATTTGAAAATTATCCAAAATTTTCAAACAACCCGCCTACAACGCCCACACGGTTACATAACAAAAACTATGACCAAATTTGCTTACCGTGTTTTTTGCTTACTACTCATAAAATGCTATATATACGTCATATAAACTTTTAAATATATTTTGAGAATAGAAAAGACCAGTTGCACCCATCCAATGATATGGAGTTCGAAAGTTTATTTCTTTTCTTTTCTTGAGGATCGCAGTGGAAAAATTCGATCATGTTCGAATATAATTTTCTTACTTGTTTTAATTTAATATATTTCGCACTGGTAATGTCGCTAGGTTTCGATTAAACTATTGATTTTGTATGTTCTGTCTTTTTATCTAAACTAAAGGTTTTCTAATTAGCAACTGTTTAAAAAAGGTTAACTTCACATGCACATGCAGGTCTTACATATAGCAAAAATTGTTTTTTGAATTCTTGCTTTTATAATGTACTAATTTTAATTATACTTGACCATGGATTTCCTTTTTCTCTTCCATATTTTTGTTATTACATTCGTAAAATCCACTTAATTTTTTTGATCAATTCTAAATTTTATTCGAAATGAATCAAAATGTCTCTTTTTAGAGCATCGCCATTTTCCGTTTTTTTTCTAATAGCACCCACAACAAACATATTTTTGGTTTGCAGATGTTTCATTGCCGTCATTAGTGTGAAAAGATTGGCCACACATGTTTTATAATTTTTCTTCTCTCAACTTGCGTCAGTGCGCAGAAAAAAGTAAGCACAATTTACTTTTTACAATTTTTATTAATTACTAAAATTAAATGTACTTAACATATTTATTTTTATTCCTACTACATATCAACGGTTTGTTGAAATATTCCAACAGCGCTGGTAGTCGAAGTATTACTTTTTGTACTCCAAACTCTTCATCGTAATACACTATGCCAGTCAGTCAAACCACAACATTGGTATGTATGTGTGATTATAGTAAGTAATCTATTATCAAATTTTTCTTCTTTTTATTAATAAACAACTAAGTATGTGGCCAGGGCCGTCAAGAGGTGAGTAAGTCTTCATAGCAAGTATACCTACGTACATAAAAAAAAAATCAAACGTTTATTTCACATTGAAGAATCCTAAATTTTATGTTTGCCAAATGCTTCAATAAATGCAATGTATGTAAATATTTATTTGCAATGCGCAAGTTTAGTTTCGGGAGTTTCGCCGAGTAATAAGCCATGTTGTAGATTTATGAATAAAAACTAATAAGAAAGATTTTCTTATTACAAAATGTTAATTTCCTCGAGTGTCTTTTATTATTAACACGCTTCTTGTATGGTAAAATAAAGTATTAGAAAGACCTTGCGTTGCCATCAAAAAAGCTATTATTGACATTGAAAGTAACCTGAGCCATGTCTGTAGATAAATGCTTATATTAAAATAAAAATGGTTACGCTAGTATTATGATGAATGCCTATGCTAATGTAGTTCAAAAATGAAATACAAAATGAATGCATGAGGGTAGACAATGAATTAGATTAGGGGCGACAATGCTGCACTTCAATGTTCGCATAAAGGATTTTGATTTCGTTAAACTTGGCTGATGTAGATCTGAATATATTTTTTATTTCTTAACCCCTAGAGTTCTTTGTACAAATTTCAATAGTTTTTATAATTTAATCTATTTATTGGACTCCATACATACCATTAAATCTACAATTGCAATTAACTAAGAATTAGCTAAAAAATAGCGTATTGACGTCAACAAAATAAAGATTTGTTTACAATGGATTCAAAACGACTGTGACTATTACCATTGTAGGACTTGAACATGCCATTTATTTTTTTTTCATTTTATACTCTTATCAATTATTTTAAACATAGATTATAAATAAATTTATTTCCTTTGCTCTTAAGATATAATGTAAATTTGACATCTTTCACATAAGTTGACTAATTTAGATGAAATTTAACAGTAGGTGAATTGAAAATGAATTGAAATTGGTTAAAAGACTAAGGTGGCGAAAAGCAAATGATTAAGATGGGGACCTTAGGTGGTGCCAACATAGTCAAAAATTGATTAACTATTTTCGTAGCCTATATTTTGCTAGTGTACTCTAATTTTTCAAGATTTAGGGAAATTGTAAATTGAACTGATAAATTATTGTGATAAATATGATTAAAAACAGTTACGTTTTGGCGAAAATAGCAACCAACTCCCGCCGTTTGCACGTTATAATGAATTCAATGCATTCTCCCCAGTAATAATAGTTTATGAGGGTTCAGTTCCATAAGCATTTCTTTGAGCAAAGTTTTTAATAAACTTATAGATTTTGTCTTTACCAATTTCGATGATATGTCGGTTTAACTTTGTCAAGCGTTAGTAATGCTTAACGATTAATCATCTTGCCGTCTTAACATCTCTTATAAGCGATCTTAGAATTAGCGTTTACTTCACGCGAAATTTCTACAAACGTTGTATTGTTAACTATAGGACTTATTTCATACGGTCTGGAAACTCGACTTAAAACTGCTCATTTATAAGACACTCCACTGCTTCTGCATATATCTGATATCTTACGTATTTCAGTGTGATAGGGTTCGTTAAATGACGTTAACGAACCTCCAATATCTTTTAATGTAATAGCCTCTTTCACATTTCGTTCATAATGTCTGGTTTGGAAACACCTTTACGCACGTTAGTACGTAAACCTAATTCGCTAAGTTTCGACTTAAGACCTTCTATCGACAAACTTACAATTTCTGCATTGTTCATTTTGTCACCCGACGTTTTCAATATCCATGGAGATTTTGGAGTGCCTTCCAAATACAATAACCGATTCTCAAGTAATCAATCATATTATTACATAATTCTTTATTATGAATTGTTAGATTGAATCCCCAAAATTCTGAAGCTTACTGGAAATCACTAGCTACTACCAAGAATTAGCTTTGGATGAAAACTGCCAAAACATTGATCATATAAATAAGTCTTCCAGATCGCAATAGGAATTATCTAACTTTTTCGCCACCCTCACTTTTAAAATCAGAGGAGGTAATTTGGAACGTTGTCCTCTTTCAAATTTGGAATGTTTAAAATTCCTCCTGAAAAATTGTTGTTATTTCATTAGAACTCAAATCGTAAGTTTGCTCATTTCTCTTCAACATGTCTTCAATGAGATTGCAAGCTTGCGAATAACAACTTTTCCTATAATATATCCCAAATATTTAACTTCTTCAGCGCAAAACTTACTCTTCTCTAAATTTTAAGTTACGCCAACGTAACCAAGCAGTTTTTTAATAATGATGCAACTTCTACAAGGCATTAACAGCCCTTAGCGATCACAAGAAGATAATCTCAACACACAAATATCTCGTTTTTAAGGCGAGTTAGCAATACTTTGTTCATTAATCTCAACATTGTTTGTGGTGCATTACAAAGTCCAAATGGCAAAACAGTATATTGATATAATAGACGTCCTGGTACACTAAAAGTTGTTTTGTTTCTAGAATATTTATTCAAAGGAATTTGTCATAAGTCATCGTTAAAATCAAGTCGAGTCATAAAAGTTGCTTTGGGTAATCTGCTAAGTATACCATGTATGTGTGGCAGGGGATCTGCATCGTTAAAAATTTTTCGATATACAGCCTAGGGGCATTTATATTTATATATTTATTTACTTATACCTGAATTTCAATTAAGCCAAATTCACAGTCGAATTCAAGTAAATCTTAATAGTAAATCTTATACTATTATATTATACTATTATTTTAAGAATTAGTATATGATATATAGGAAGATGTGAAAGAAGAATAATAAAAACAAAGTATCTTAAAATACTAATTCATGTATAAAAAAATAAGAAAGAAAAAACAAAAAAAGCATGTACACAGCTAGCACAGAAGCACACCCACAACAAGAATAGATCCAGGTTGCATGTGAACCCCTAAACCGTTGCAAGCATGCATAAACTTGGCAACCCACAACGTTAACAATACATTCAGTTTTCGAAATAAAAAGAATGAGAATTTAAGAGTGCAAGTTGGTTTAAGAATTATATAGGTAAATCGCTCATATTAAGCAAAATTGCTTTAATAGGTTTTAAAGAATTTGATATCGAGGACAGAGGCATCAATTAGGTTCCTGCAATCAACTCTGAACGGGCTGAACGGCTCATAATTTACATTGAGTAAGCCTAATCGAGATAAAGTGCCTAGAGAAGGGGTTAGGGACATCATAGCTTATCTCACCAAGTAATGCGGGTAAGTCAATAATACCATTTATTACTTTGATAAAGAAGGAAACCCCAAGAACAAATCTACGTTTCGCAAGTGACGGTAAGGATAATAGAAGCAACTTATTTTCATAATGTGGAGGAGAGGTCCCAACCCAAATTCCTAAAGGCAAACAGTAAGAACTACTTTTGAACAGATTCAATTGAATCTACATAGCACCTATATGAAGAAGACCAAACAACAGAGGCATACTCAAGTGTAGGTCTAACCAAACACATGTACAGCCTTTTCGCAATGTAGGGATCATCAAGGTCTTTCGACCCCCTCATAATAACAAGCGAGAGCTTAATATACAAATTAAAACGTAACATATGGTCAAATAGAACGCCTAAATCTGTGAACGAATCGCCGTCTACCAACTTGTGCGAATCAATGAAACACTGAGTAATGAATGACTTCCTTCTTGACAATGAAAGCTTCTTACATTTATTTAGATTTAGTTTCAGAAGATTCAAAGAGCACCATGCAACCAAATTACTCAAGTCACTTTAAAGCTGATGTGATTGCGATTCAACAGTGAAGGAAGAAAACAGTTTCACATCATCAGCGTACATTAAGATCTCGCTCGAAACTCTAACAGATTGGTGACATTAGATCTTTTTTTCCGAAAACCATGTTGAAATGAAGAAATATACGATATGATGTCAAAGGCCAAATGCTGAATAACAGTTCGCTCGAAGTGTTTAGGACAGACACTCAACTTGGAAATGCCTCTGCAGTTCTCAGTGCATACTTCCACATTTGTGAATAGGAATAAGGCGACCACTCTTCCAACACGAAGGGAAAACAACTAAATTCAAGGACTGGTTAAAAATCTTTGAGATAACAGCACATAGCTCCGGAGCGCATGATTTAAGTACATATGATGGAATTCCATCAGGTCCTGGCACACAACTATAGTTTAGAGAGGTCAACCATTGAAACCAAATTAGTTACAGGATATGGGTAGTTTGCTGATAAATCGGAATTAGCAGTCGAAAGGTTTTGTCGGAAGTATTCAGCAAAAATATTTGAGATTTCAAAATCATCCGAGGCACCAGAACCATTAAAAGAAACATGTGAGGGCTTTATGGAGATTTTGCTTTTGAAACTGACGAGCCTAAAAAAGTATTTAGCATTAAAGAACAGAGAGGATTTAACTGCAGGTATCTGCAATTATAGTGGTGGTTGAGGGAGTTAAATCTTTGCCTTAATGCAGAATAGGCAAATTAGTCATAAGCAAAAACCACTTTTCATAAAGCATTGGAAAAGTTTGTTTTTCCTATGTTTGTAATATTTAATTGTCTTTTAAACCATGGCGCGCACTTGCTTCGAGGGGGGGGTTGCTTCATCGCATGCAAAAAAAGCTAGTTTTCACACATTATAGAAAGATGGCTAAGAGCTCAGCGCCACTTTTCGAATATTTTTTCAGAAGCGTAGTTTTTCTATTCTTGCAATATTTAATTGTCTTATTAAACCAGGGGGGACAGCTGCTTCGAGATCAGGATTGTTTGACCGGAACAGATGCAGAAATAGCTAGATTTAGTGTGTCGTAGAACGATGACGGTTAGCTTTCAATACTTCCAGTTGGAAAATAAAGCATAATTTGTGAAAGATGAGATTTTTGCATTGAAACATTAATTTTATGGCAATCATAAAATTTATTTGAAAAAGTTGAACTAGGAACGTTACAAAAGTTGAGCAAACCATCATGCTCGTAATGAACGGAAATAGCCAATGCTGGATGGTAAGGATCCTCAGCTAAACTAAAAGGAAAACAACGATTAATCTCAAGAAAATTGGCAAAGCAAAGATCGA